GAAGTCTTTCCAGGAGACCGGAGGAGGCAGGAGATGGAGTTACAAACATTGCAACTGCAAGCTGAGGTGGAAGGAGGCTGAGAAATGAGGAAGACCACGCAAGTCTTGTTGGCCTAGAGCTGGTGTGCAGCAGCAGCACCCTTTCCCCTACGGGGAATAAAGCACATCCATTAACTACACTTTGATGTGTGTGTCCTGATGGTTTTTGTATCCCCCCAGACGGTCTGTCCCCATAACGTTGTGGCTCTTTTGTACCTGCCGGCTGCTTGGCAGCCCCACCACGCACCACTGGGTGCAGGACACTGCTGCCATGAAGGACTTGGTTAAACGCATGGTGCTAAAGACCCACCCGTGTCAGGAGTGCGGCAAATCCTTCAGCAAGAAGGGAAACCTGAAGAGACACCAGCGGATCCACACAGCAGAGGAGCTCTTCACTTGCAGGGAGTGCGGGAGGCGCTTCACCACCCGGGGCCACCTCACGACCCACCAGAGCATCCACACAGGAGAGAGGCCCTTCTGCTGCGGGGAATGCGGGCGCTGCTTTCGCCTGGAGATATGCCTGGCCGCCCACCGAAAGACACACGCCAAGGGTGGTCCCTACCTCTGCGCCCGCTGCGGCAAGAGCCTGAGCACAAAGATCTACTTCAACATCCACATGCGGACGCACACGGAGAAGAGGCCATTCGCCTGCACTGAGTGTGGGAAAAGCTTTGTGAAGAAGGGGACCCTCACCGCCCACAGGGAGATCCACAAGAGGGAGAAGCCCTTCAAATGCCCCGACTGCAGTAGGTGTTTTGGGCAAAGTGCCACACTGCTGGCTCATCAGAAGATACACCTCCGTGGGGGGCCGTTCATTTGTACTGAGTGTGGGAAGAGCTTGAGCACCAAGCGGTATTTCCATGTCCACCAGAGGAACCACGCTAAGCAAAAGCTGCTTGAGGGACAAATCAACAGTGTGTCTCTCCAGGTCATCCAGATTAAAAAGGAGCCTGATTTTGCCTTCAGATCAGAGGAGAATATGTTGGAGAATATGTCCCGTGAAGGAGATGTAGCCCAGGGGTGCAGCATACCTAGAAACCCATCAAATCCAAAATGCCCTCCTTGGAAAATCCAGATGAAGGAGGAACCAGAACTATGCACTGATGACACAACAAACCTTACTGCAGTAGCCTGCCAGAAACTTTACATCAAGGAAGAGCCCCCAGAAAACCCGGACTATGGAAAGCTCTTTGTTCCAAATATTCCACTGATGGCTTCACAGGGGAGACAGCTTAAAAAGGAAGAAGATGCTGATGGGCAGCATGAATGGGAAGTCCCCATAGCCAGTAACCAGGTGCTCCATTTGAAGGAAGAACCACAGGAAAGCATCGAGTCTGGGATGCATTTTAGGCAGAAGCCAAACCTCAGTGCTATCCAGAGGATCCAGATTAAAGAGGAACCTGGTGTGGAGGCCAACCACCAGGAGAGCCAGAGACCAAAGAGGAAGCAGAAGAAATGCTATCAGCCCACCAAAGAGGGGATGCTGGAGAACCGGGAGAAATCCATGTCCAAGAAAGATCCCTCAGCAAAAGGAGCTCCTAAGGGTCAACGGATATTCCCCTGTCCTGAGTGCGGGAAAAGTTTCAATCAGAAATCGAACCTGACCAGACACAGGAAGATCCACACGAGCGAGGGGCCGTACAAGTGCGATGAGTGCGGGGAGAGCTTCCGCATGAACCGCAAGCTGATCCGCCACCAGCGAGCCCACATCAGCGAGCCCTTCAAGTGCACCGAGTGCGGGAAGAGCTTCACCCAGCGGTCAAACCTGGTTCGGCATCAGAGGATTCACACCAAGGAAGAACCCTACCAGTGCCCTGAATGCGAGAAGACCTTCAACCAGAAGGCCAACCTCTTCCGGCACCAAACCATCCACGTCCGGATGGGGCCTTGCAAGTGCACCAAGTGCGGGAAATGCTTCCCTCAGAAGCGCCACCTTATTAAACACCAGCTGCTCCATTCCCGAGGTGGGGCCTACAAATGTGGGGTCTGTGGGAAGCGCTACCGGCTGAAGAAGTATCTGAAGAGGCACCAGAAAATCCATGCACGGGAAGGAGCTGCTCCCTGTGCAAAACAAGGGGAGAACACAAGAACCTGCGGTGGATCCCACCACACCGAGCAGACAGCTCTGGCCACTATGAAGAGCGAAGAGGAGAGCTGAGCAGGTCTGGTGCCTGCTCCTGAGGGAAAGTCCTTCGGGAAAGTGGAGGGATGGCGAGAAACTCTGCTGGCTTTATGTGTGAAGTATCTGGTAGTGGGGAGGTCAACCTGAGGGGACAGTGAGGTTGAGGGGGCAGAGCGCTGCTGTAAACTGGTCCTCTGCTGGTGTTTTCAGAGTACAACACTCAGGGTGTCACCTGCTCACAGCTGTGAGATGGGGCTGGAGATCCAAGCCTCCTCAGAGCACTTGGAGACGGAGGGATACGAGCTTGGCGTAACTGTATGGTTGTGTCACTAAAGCCTGCCAAAGTTGTGGATGCCAAAATTGTCTTCTGTGGGCAATCTATAGCCAAGAAGACCAGACAGGATTTATTTTTATTACATTACTGTGCTTCTGAGAAAGCTGAAAGGAATCTGTCCCATCTAGGCAAGGGTTTAAAGCAAGGGCCAATGCTCTTCTCCTTCATGTAGCTCTGGTCCACATCTTGATCCTGCTGGGCTGATGGACCTTAGTCAACTGGATGGTACAGATTTGGGGGAAACTACTGCCAACCAAACCAGGGTTTTAAGCCTTGAATCTGCCAAACCAGGCTCCAGATTGGCTTAAGCCAGGTCCCTAAAAGTAAGTTATGCAAAACCAATGCCTGTTTTTCCAAAGCTAGCCCTGAGGCCAGCAGATTGTATTCTTGTTTGTGCCTCCACAACCCCATAGCGTGGATGTAAATGAGAATGTTTTTTCTTAGCATCGAGTTTTACATCTCTGATGAGCAGGTGATCTTGCCACTACAAGAGGCATCAGTGACTTCACCAGCTTGAGCGACGCTGGTGCTGGTTCTCAGCCACCTGCTTCCCTACCTGTTACTGTGAAGATCTTGATAGGACA